GCACTGATCAAATTGACCGTTGACGAATCCCTGGCAATGGCTAGGAGCCACTTGCTATTTTGAAGGCTTGCGATTCACCTGAGCTCACCTAACGTGGTTGTAGCAAACAGTCAATGCAGTCTGCTTTGACAGCAGCCTTCAAAAAAGAGCTCACAGTCCGTAGATGTCATGCTAATGCAAAATTATGCAAATATGTTGGTCATTTTTTGCGTTCTGTGTGTCTGTGTGTGTGCGTGTGCCTGGCCGTTTGCCTCAGTCAGTGTCCTAAATCTGTGTACTGTGCACTAGATTCGCAACCCGCATCTTCTCACTAGATTCGTAACCGTCCTAACCTGCAGTTTCAGGGCGAGGCTCGGCCTTGTCCAAGGCATACTTGCAGCCTTTTTCGATAATTTTCAAACCATTCTGAGGCTGTTTCATATGTATTCACATGTGTGTGTGTGTGTGCCCCTTCACCCGTTCCAAAGTCTTCTGCCCCATTCCAAAGTCTCCTTTGCCCTCTTTCTCTGCTTCCGAACCTTGGCAGAAGAAAATGTTGCGAGAAAAATGGGAGCAGCACAAGTTCCTAAGTAGAAGTGACATTCAATCAGACTCAATCAGGTTCTAGCTCTATCAGACTCAATCAGCCTCAATCACACTCAATCAAACTCTACAAGTAGTTCCCGGGCAAAACGGGGGCGGAATATTCGAAATTGAAACGCTTACAGCCTATAGAGCGGAGCAAAGACTGTGCCTATAGGTGACGGCCAAGCCTTCTGTGCTTCGCAGCAACAAGCTCTTGACTTGTCAATCTGATGCCATGCCTTTTGAATGCTAAATCTTTCCTCATCTCATCTGATCTCATCGCATCGCAGCTTCTCTTGGAAATTGTTCATTGCATCCCATTGTCACCGCAGTCTGTGTCATCCCATCTCATCTCATCTCAACTCATCTCACGTCTTCTCAGCTTTTTTCACCTTATCTCATTCATCCCATCTCATGTCTTCTCTCCCCTGCTCAGCTCATCTTCTCAGCTGGTCACAACTGCTCTCTTCTCTTCTCACGTAACCTGAGCCTTTCTCACCTCTTCTCATCTCATCTCAGCTTATCTCAGCTTATCTCAAATTTTAACAGCTCTTCTCAACTCTTCTCGGCTCTCCGCAGCTCATGTCAGCTCGTCTTATGTCTTCTCACATGTCAGCTCGTCTTATGTCTTCTCACCTCTTCTCTCTCTTCTTACATCTTCTAAGCTCTTCTCACATCTCCTTAGCTGATCTCAGCTCCTGTCAGCTCGTCTCACCTCACCTCAGCTCTTCTCAGCGCACTCTCAAATCATCTCAGCTCTTCTCTGGCCCAAAACCTGCTCAAAACAAGGATCTCGGTGCCAAAGCAAGCGGCCCCTACGCTTTCCACAGAAAAGATTTGACACAGAGAACCTTTACACACAGCAAGCTTTGTCACAGAGAAGCTTGTACACACAGAAGCTTTTACACAGAGACACGCAAGCTTTTACACACAGACAGCGAAGCTTGTTCACAGAGACAGGGAAGCTTTTACTCACAACAAGCTTTTTCACAGAGCAAGCTTTTACACACAGAACCTGTTCTGGCAACTTTGTTTTGCTTGGGAAACGGTTCCTGGAAACCTTGAAAACGGTTCCTGAAATCCGCGCTTGCAAAACCTGTTCCTGGGAACCTTGCTTGGGAACCTGTTCCTGGAAACCTCTTCCTGCTGGGAACCCTTGCCTGGGAACCTTGCCTGGGAACCTCTTCCTGGGAACCTTGCTTGGGAACCTTGCTTGGGAACCTGTTCCTGGGAACCTTGCTTGGGAACCCTTGCCTGGGAACCCTTGCTTCAGAACCTGTTCCTGGGAACCTTGCTTGGAACCTGTTGGGAACCTTGCCTGGGGACCCCTTCCTGAAAACATTCCTCTTGCTTGGGAATCTGTTCCTGGTAACCTTGCCTGGGAACCTTGCTTGGGAACCTTGCTGGGAACCTCTTCCTGGGAACCTTGCTTGGGAACCTTGCTTGGTAACCTGTTCCTGCGAACCTTGCTTGGGAACCTCTTGCTGGGAACCCTTGCTTGGGAACCTGTTCCTGGGAACCTCTTGCTGGGAGACCTTGCTTGGGAACCTGCTCCTGGGAACCTTGCTTGGAAACCTTGCTTGGGAACCTCTTCCTGGGAACCCGGTTCCCAATCTTGCGCCGTGCGGATTTGGCTGCTCCAAGGGATTCTCCTGGAAAAGGAGACCCTTCCCCGGAACCCGGTTGGGAACCCGGATTTGGCTGCTCCGACCTGCTCTGGAACCTTTACTATTGCTGAAGACCCCAAGCTTACGCTGTTGGAAAAAATCGCCAGCGCCAAAATTGATAAAATCTGCTGACAAATCACTATGGCAACCTTGATGCAGCCACTCCAGTACAATTTACGGTGTCCAGCTGCAAAAGACAATAAATAGCATTACGCACGCAGCCGCGGCACCAAGGAACCTTGACGCAGCCATTACAGTGCGATCTGCAGAGACTGAGTGAGTTGCTAAACACATTAGAACTACGCGCAAGAACGTCGGCAAAAACGACGCCTGAACTGTCAGTTAATGATCCCGGTACAGCCGAGACCGTCCAGGACCCGCCCGCCGGACAAGCTTCCCCATCCATCTTCCAGGACACGCATTTCGTGCATCCGTGCAAAATTTCTTCAAAAACTCAAAATGGAAGATGTGAAAACGAAGCTTTCGTGCGAGACGTCCCTCAAAAAAAACGAAAGTGGAAGATGTGAAAACAAAGCTTTCGTGCGAGACGTCCATCAAAGAGTGAAAATGGAAGATGTGAAAACAAAGCTTTCGTGCGAGACTTCCGTCCAAAAGTGAAAGTTGAACAGACTCTATCAGACTCAATCAGACCCAATCAGACCCAATCAGACTCTGTCAGACTCTATCAGACTCAATCAGACCCAATCAGACCCAATCAGACTCTGTCAGACTCTATCAGACTCAATCAGACCCAATCAGACCCAATCAGACTCTGTCAGACTCTATCAGACTCAATCAGACCCAATCAGACTCAATCAGACTCCGTCAGACTCTATCAGACTCAATCAGACCCAATCAGACCCAATCAGACTCTGTCAGACTCTATCAGACTCAATCAGACCCAATCAGACCCAATGAGACTCTGTCAGACTCTGTCAGACTCAATCAGACCCAATCAGACCCAATCAGACTCTGTCAGACTCTATCAGACCCAATCAGACCCAATCAGACCCAATCAGACTCTGTCAGACTCTATCAGACTCAATCAGACCCAATCAGACCCCAATCAGACTCTGTCAGACTCTATCAGACTCAATCAGACCCAATCAGACCCAATCAGACTCTGTCAGACTCTATCACACTCAATCAGACCCAATCAGACTCTGTCAGACTCTATCGGACTCAATCAGACCCAATCAGACCCAATCAGACTCTGTCAGACTCTATCAGACCCAATCAGACCCAATCAGACTCTGTCAGACGCTATCAGACTCAATCAGACCCAATCAGACCCAATCAGACTCGGTCAGACTCTATCAGACTCAATCAGACCCAATCAGACCCTGTCAGACTCTGTCAGACTCTATCAGACTCAATCAGACCCAATCAGACCCAATCAGACTCTATCAGACTCTATCAGACTCAATCAGACCCAATCAGACCCAATCAGACTCTGTCAGACTCTGCCAGACTCAATCAGACCCAATCAGACCCAATCAGACTCTGTCAGACTCTATCAGACTCAATCAGACCCAATCAGACCCTGTCAGACTCTGTCAAACTCAATCAGACCCAATCAAACCCAATCAGACTCTGTCAGACTCTATCAGACTCAATCAGACCCAAACAGACCCAATCAGACTCTGTCAGACTCAATCAGACCCAATCAGACCCAATCAGACTCTGGCAGACTCAATCAGACCCAATCAGACCCAATCAGACTCTATCAGACTCTATCAGACCCAATCAGACCCAATCAGACCCAATCAGACTCTGTCAGACGCTATCATATTTCACATGACTCATGTTCGCAAAGTATCCACTTCTAAGGTTCTGACCCATGTGAGATGGTACAAGTACAGGCCACCTTTACCAGCTGGTACCAACTGCACCATGTGCTAAGCATTGAATCGCGGGACAATGCTTGACAATCGACCGTTAAATCCAAGGATTAGACCAACGACCAGAATTTCTAGGCCCATGATAAGCGCAAGTGGCCAGTGACGCTGCAAAAACCTCACTGGCCGTGTCACAATCCAATGGCAGCGACTCCGTTTCGATAGATATTGTATAGATTGCTGTCAATTTGACAATCACCTTTGCTATACCCAACTTTAGGGCACCAAGCCCCTCAGACCAACGATCCAAAGTGTCCTGGCAAAGCATTCAGAAACGCACGCTCAATGCACATACAGGACCATTCGCTGAGGTGATGCAAGAGCAGTTTGACTGCGTGAGTTTGTGGAGTGAGCAGCCAAAAACGGTTAAACCTCTGTTCTACAGTACTTGGGATCATGGGTGGAGCAAATCTCCGCCTCTGCAAAGGTTGCATTGTTTGACATGCCTGATCAGGAAACAGCCACACATGCATCCCAGAGAATCCAACTTGAACAGCCTGAAAGACCTTGAACACGTGCTGGACTGCTTGTGGCAAGAACAAGAGATGGTGCGACTTCCTATTCCCTCTGGCATAATTGATAAACACTGGAGTTGTTCCCACATTGATAAAAACATGAATTATGAATTATGCAGCAATGATGTACTATTGGATCAACAACATCTGACTAACCCACGTGTCTGCCTCGTGTGGCCTCGTGTTCCAGTCGAACGCTGCACCTAGGTCCTTCTTTGGCGCTCCACTCAAACACTAATCTGGCCAGTAGAAAGCTTGAGCCTCTGATTCTCGCTGGGTCAGGTGATAGCAGGCGTGAGCTAGCTCAAAGACACACAAGGAAACCACTGCAAGCATGACTTTGGTCAAGTGGCATCTTTTCTTCCCACTGCTTTGCAATGGTGTCAAAATGTACCGTCCTATCTACGACTTGCCTGGACTTTGCATGCTTTGATGTTTGATCGGGACGTGGGGATCACCATATTTCATTGTTTCTGTGCAGGATAGCATGCCATAGCCGCCATAGCCAAGAAACTCCGACAGGAAGTGCTCTCCTTCACAGTTCCCATCCATTCGGATGAACCAAGACCAAGACACTTTGACGGTCGCTTCATTCTGGCTCTTCCTTGGGGAGCATTGGATGGCAAAAACAGCGAAAAGTGGATATCCCTGCAGTATCCCCAGGCAAGGTATGGCAACATCGAGATACCAGCGAGACACCACCGACTCCAGGCAGGGTTCAGTGGGGTTGGGGTGGGGGTGGGATGTTAACGTTCACTAACACTTGCAAATCAAGGATGGCACAGGCAGTGGGGGTTGCTGATGTGGTTGACACGATGTTTGACACGTTGGTGCAAAGACCAACCATCACCATTCTCTGGATGTTACCAAGTTTGCAAACTCAACTTCCTTTGAGCAAGCTACATCGGCGGTGACGCAAAATATTGGCACAGTTGCGCACAGGGTGAGTGCATGACGTAAGTGTACATGGCAGAGAAGAATTTCGCAAGTAAAACTGCCTATTTCTCACATTCGACCCTACCGCAAAACACAGGTAGGGTCATATGCGAGAACAAAGGGGTAGGGTCAAATGCGAGGCGCGTACCGTCAAAAGCATCGACAAGACTGTATAAGCAGGCATAGAACACAGCTCCAAGGTATAAAATGCATTAAATTAAAATTGCCAGAATTTGCACAATTTTGCTGCTTTGATCAGCTTTGATCTACTTTGATCAGCTTTGATCTACTTTGATCATCTTTGATCTACTCTGATCATCTTTGATCTACTTTGATATCCCAAGTTGAAAAGTTGAAAAAGTCGTGCTATTGCCATCTGGAGGACCTCTGCAATTTCTCGAGCTCGCTTCCGCTTCTTGCGACTGGCCTTGCCTTTGATCAGCTGCAGAGTCTCTTGCAGGCTTTGGTCACCAGAGTCAGCCTCCAAAAAGCTACACCATTCTCAAACAAAGCTGAAAAATCTCAAAAGGCTCCATTTCTTGAATTCAATAAGGTCCAGTATGGTCCAGTATGGTCACTGGTATGGTCCATTGCGATCAAATGCGTGTAATTATAGTACCTGTGCAAACTCGCTATACCAAGTTGAAACGAAACAGGCCGGGTGTTTTTTGTGCTACAGAAATGCAAGATTGCAGCGCATGTCTTCTACAGTATCTTTTCACATCGGCTTGTTGGGGTTGAGGCACAAATATATGCAAATACATATTCTATGATTTGCGGATGGATTTCCTGCTCCAATGAACAGCTTTCTTACCAAGATGCGATGTTGAATGCAGGAAAAGTTGCCTTGCCACTTGCAACTTTGTGTGAAAGTACTTTCCAGCCGTATGTAGCATGATGCTCGGTGTAGGTGTGCAATTGTGGGGTCAATGCACCTCAAAATGTTAGTCACCTACTTCTATTGGGAAGTCCTGTTGAGAGACCCCAAATAATCTCACTAGGCCTTCTTGGCAACGGCGTAGTGCTGGCACAAAATTATGTTCCCTTTAATACGTTGCTCTAGTTGCATTATGTGCTAGCATGCGGCTATCTATCATTTTCAATACATAGACTACAAGAACTGGGCTCTATGCAAAGAAACAAAGCTGTGGACGCAGCAGAGTGCAAAATCCAAGTGGCTTTGCTTTTTGACTGGGAAACTTCGATCGTCGCAAGGGCAGGAGATTCTTCCATGGGTTCACAAGGCAGCAGCGCCGCAACCTCAAATGGTCAGATTGGTTCATCTCACTTCCAAGTGTCATAGTGTCACAAGCAGCCAGAAAACGCAATGAACAAAAATACAGTGAGAAATAAAACGACATTTCTTCAGCAACTCTCAAACACACAGTAAAACCACAGTCGCTTGTTGCCCTCTAGAACAACATAAAAGGCATTGTAATTTGTGGTATCTTGTGCTTTTCCGTGCAAGAACTGTGGGATTCCATTTATCTGAACATGATGCGCAAACTTGTACAGTAGTAGATTGCGGTCTTTTTGATTTTCTAAACTACAAGTGATGTCTTTTTCCGTGACTCTTCTCTGCTTCTTTCCCTCAAACTTTTGTTTCTTGAAATTAATGTTCCAGGACGATTCGATGATCCCATATACCAGCCCCACTTCTCCTGTGCTTGTGAATTCTCTAACTTCCTCAGCTTGTGACCTTCACCCGAAGCATGTTGAATATTTGAAACCAAAAGAAATCAGCGGAACTATGTGTGACAGTCTTATTGAACACTGAACCAACACATATAGACTCCTTAGAATCTAAATAATTGTAAAGCAGCAGTTGGGTCTTCCATTGCTTCTGTTGCTGCCTTTGCCAAAGCCTCATCCTCAGCTGCTCTGACTTTTCGCATCTTTGCTGCTCTTGCGGATTCAGTATCCCCTTCAATCAAATCGCCAAAAAGCGCTTGAACTTTGCCAGCTTTCTTTTGTTGCTGCATCCATTCAGCAGTGTGCACTTTGACTTGGTGCAAGCCGCATACTTTCCAAACTGCGAAGTTGTCAGCTCGAAGCTTTTCCTCCACGTCAAGGAGCTCTTTTGCAAAAGCCTGACGGAGGCCCGAATCCCCCAAACTTGTTCGCCACAAGGCTGCGCAAACCCAGCCACCAATGTGGTGAGGCCCCAAAGTTGCCATTAGACCCTTGAAAGAAGCAGCTAGCTTAAGACGTCGCATACCAAGAGCTGAAGATGGTGCCAATGCAGCTTCCAAAACACGTGCAGTGCGTGACTCCAGTGCAAGGGCAAGTAGAATGTCTTTCCTTAAAATCTTGGAGAGGCCCGACACGATTGGAGCTACTGTTTCCGCAGGAAAGCGCAAGAGAACTGCAAGGAGCATTGCTCCGGCAGCTGGCAGTCGCCGTAGTTTTGGACTTCCAACGCTTTCAGCCTCACCAGCTTCGGTTTCAGGGTTCTCCTTTTTGTCTTCCCCGGAGTGGACTCCTTTTTCCATGCCTTTGAATTTCTTGCCTTTCTTGGCTTTCAGTTTCGTATCCTTCCCATCTGTTTTGCTGTTAGTCTTTTCCGACTTGCGCTCGCTTTTGCTCATCCACTCCCCTTCAATCAGGGAGTTCACATCCAGAGGTGCAAGCGATAACAGAGATGACCAAGCACGATGATACTCTGAAGAAGCATGTAGCGCCAAAGCGCGAAAAACTCCTCCAGCAGCTTGTTTCAGCGCTGCTCGCAATCGCAACGATGCTTCAAGAAACTTCAGCACAACCATGTGCTGAGCATTTTGAGATCCACTCCCCAAGCAAGCCACAAAATCCAGTTCATTCAATGCCAGCTGAAGCTGCGGCCCTTCCCTCAGAGCGTCTGCCACTTTTTGAGCAATAAATGGACCGAATTCGGTGCTTGTGGCTGTTGCAAGGTCACACAAACGTGATCTGAAGTAGCGTGAGAATAATTCTGCAAAGAGCTCCGCTCCGGCGGTTTCAAGAACTGCTTCCAAAACACGAGATCCTGCTGCTGAAGCCATCAAAGCATCACATCGTTCTACAGACGGGCTGCCATTCACTGCCTTTGCTCCCACCACCGCAGCACAAGCTTCAGAAAGGAGAGCACGGTCTCCACAATCGCGTAGAAGTCGCAAGAGCAACTGGATGATAGGACTTGCATGAGCATTCAAGCAAAGGCTTGGAGAATTTGGAGAATTGAAATCATTGGTGTTGTCCTGCTTGATGAGTTTCACAAGACTTGCAGCAGATTTGCGTCTGCATTCAGCGATTTCTGAAGGAATCGGGTGTTTTGTCTGTGGCAGCAATCCAGCACGTGCTGCCAGCTTCTCTTTGCCTTCCTCGTGTGCGTAGCCACCAAGTGCCATTAGCAGCGCCCGAAGAACATGTGCAGAGCACGGATTGATTGCAAGAGAGGGCCACAAGGCCTCGTCATTCAACCGAGAACAAGCTGTAACGAGAGGCTGGCAATGATGCAGGCTGGGTTTGTCATTTCCCAAACGGTCTGCCCAGGACCTCAGCGCTGTTTCAAGAACATGTGATGCATACTGGTTGGTGGCCAAGTCGCCAAATGCCTCTAGCAGCATCTTAAAGATAAGTGAGAACACCTCTGGTGTTGCTTTTTTGATCAGCTTTTCAAGCGGCTTCGAACCTCGTTGGTCAGAAGCAATTGAGAACAACCGATCAGGTGCAGCTGTGGCCTCTTCCAGAGCACGGCTTGATAGCAGGTTCTCTTCAGTTTTGGAAAGACCATCCAAAGCTTTTGAGCAACTCCGGACATAGTCTACCAGATCAGCAATGGGACGTCGTTTCTCCCCGCCAAACGCACCTTGCACAAAGACATTGCAGTGGCAGAACATGCAAATCTACTTGTCTGAATGTAGCAAATTGCTCTGAGCTAACAAGAACACCGCGTTGTCAACAAGAGCATAGCGAGAAGCTGAGCATAAAGATATCTTTGATGGTCATTAAAATCATATTTGACATTTGCGCAGATTTGATCTAGTTGCTTCAAATGCTTCAAGAATTGAAAAAGCGCTTTGGACCACTGTGAACACCTCCAAAAGCACCTCCACTCTGAGATGTCTTGACAGAATCAGCACTGCCTGCACAAGGTTTGTCCCCTCTGTGTCAATTGCTTCAGAGACTGCTCAGGACGTGTCTAGGCTATGCTTCAAGATCTTCAGGATATTCTTGATCTTGTGTTTTCTCTCTACATCCACTAGCAAGTATGAGATTGCTAGACTGTTAGACATTGAACTTCATTCAAATTGTGAAATGTGCAGCCAGCCAGGAATGCTGAGACTTTGATTGAAGCAACCAACATACCCCTATCGAGATTCCGCTGGACTTGATTTAACTATTGGTTTAACATGGTTTAACTATACTTTGAAATATTGGAGAAACCGGGAAACCGGGAAACCGGGAAACCATTAGAAATTTGCTGTTGCTCCTGCCTTTTCTCTTTGCTTTTCTTTGGGCAAAGCTCTTTCGCGTGTGGCGGCCATGGTGAGTGTTGTGCTGCCAGCGAGCCATGGCTTTCTCTCAGTCTGTCATGACACAAGGACAGCTCGGACAAGGAAAGAATGTGGGGAACGTGGGGAGTTGGAAGTTTCAAGTTCACACACGGTGCCAAGAATGAAAAGAAACAAATGCACCAATGCATTTTTGCATTCGTTTATACACGAGGATCCTTGCATGGAATCAATCTGCCAATAATACCTGCATGGTATACAATTAAATATACATATATAATAACGATTATAATATAATATATATATATACATACTTTGTTTGGAATATACATGTATGCACATCATTGTGCAGTGGTACAAGGCACGCAGAACGCTGCTGTTTGGATTCACACATTCTCCACATGGTCGAACTATGATGATCCAAAGCAAGCTTCTCCACAGTTGGATCCACGCGACTCAAAACATGCACGAAACAAACTGTGATCGCTGTGATGGCTGGAATTCAGGCGATACTTGCAATGAAGTGACAATTTAAGCACAGAACATCCCTGAGTTTTTTCACTGCTACTTGCTCTCTTTTAATGAAGATGTGAAACGTATGACGTTGCCTAATTTGAAGGCCTGTCCTTCTCTCTCCTCTTCTCTCTCTTCTCTCTCTTCTCTCTCCTCTCTTTCTTCTTGCTCTTCTTGCTCTTCTTTCTCTTAATACTGAACTGTACATCATCCCTACGCCCATCTCCCATCTTTAAACGAAGCTTGTCAGGACCTCAGCTCGTTTTGCTCATGGCTCAGCCATGGAAACGGAGCCGACGGAGCCGACGGGGCCGACGGAACCGATGGCTTTCTCTGCCATTCTGAAAGGCACACATTCGCCAAAATCGTTGAAACCAGTTGGTGCAGCATGCGTCAGGACTTGCTGCAATGGCTGAATTGTGAACAGCGCGAACGGCATAGAAAGCAATGAGTATAAGACTTTGCACCAAAAGATATCTTCTTGAAAATGCCGATATGCGGTCACTTGGTGATCTTCTTTGCTCATCATCAAATGTCCACCGGTCAAGACCAACAGGACCAGCAGTGAGAACGCAAAACATGCTACATCGTAGTTCAACAAGCTTGACATTCGTCCGCCTCTGTCGATTTTCAGGCGTTGACTCTTGGATTCTGATTCTGAAACTTGAGAGATTTTCTCAATTTTCTGGCTCTGCAGTTTCAACCGCTTTTGCTGGCGATGCTCTTGAGCAAACGGTAAATTCAGAAAAGCAATCCAAACTAAAACGATGCTGCCCCAGTAATCTGCCAACTCACCAATCAAAGAAGAGACATTGCCTGGGCCACGCTGGGCAATACACGCAGTCATATCTGTCTCATGCCAATTGAAGCATCCAAAGTAAATTGTTGCGCCTTGCCCCATGCTCACGAGACCACCAGTCAGGAACTGTGTACCCTTGCACAAAAGGATGAAGTTAATGATTTGAAACTCATCTGGTGGTCTGGGGAACAATATGAAGGTCAAAATGATTGAGAGCACACTAACTCGAAAGCCTGCATTTGGAATCAGCATTGTAAGAGTAAGAGCCACATAAATTGGATCTTTGAGCTTGCCGAAGATGGATCGGTCGAAGGGCAAATAGTGCCGCAACACTTTCCGCCGGACAAAACGGTAACAGGATTCACAGCAAGACCATTTGCTGCCCTGCTCTGGTTGTTGGTTGGGATCCAGTGGCTGTAGCCATGCCAGCTCAACATTCAGCTCGATTTCTTTCTCGACATCCTCCCACAGGCTATCAATCATTGAGCGCTGCAGCACCTTTACGCGTTCCCACATGTCTGGATCTGAGGTCATGTTCTTCTTCATGATTTCTCGCAACTTTTGCATGAGTTCAGCCCTCAAAGGTGCAGAGATGTTCAATAGCTCTCGCTTTGCTGCCTCCTTCAAAAGAGATGTGTTTTGTGTTTGCTGACTAAGTTGTTTTTCGAATGTCACTAACTTGCCCGCAACCCTCTTGTCGAATTTGTTGCTCAAAGAACCAGCCTTTGGGCTGCCATGAGCCTGTACTAATGTTCGGGTGGCAAGAGCTAAATGACGAGTCTTTTTGACCAAGCGATGCTTCATTTCAGCCCAAAAGAATTTTTGCACTGCTTTGCCAACAAGTTTTTTGTTCCTCGGCGAGTCGGAAGCATCAGAACTCATGTCTTCACTGTCCAGCTCAGACAGCGCCACACCTGGACTGCCTATGTCCACACCAGGCACACCAAGCACTTCCGGAAGTTCAGAAAAAGACTTCTGCGTTCCGTGTTGGTCATGTTGGGAGTGTTGGTGTTGGTGTCCTGGGACGACGAGACTTTTCTTCTGACTGTCCTTGTTGTCGAAGTTTCTGGTCTTGTTTCTCCAGGCATTTTCGAAGAGTTTCTGCTCTTCTTTCAAAGGCCGCTCTCTCTGGGATGGACTCACTAAGCTTGCAGACGAAGCAGAACTCATGAAGATCTACAGTATGTTTGGAATATTTGGAATCTCGAATCCTTGACAAAAACAGCTGCCGTCAATTGGCCAACGGACAGCGTTTTTCGTGACACAAGCGCCATCCCAACAACAAACCACATGCAATCCACTGAACAGAGCTCTGTCATGATTGTGCAAGGATATGTTGCCAATTTTGTTCATTTTAAGATCTTTTGAAGGCATCCTCCCCGATTCAAGATGTCCGATACCAAGTTCATCCTTGCAGGATTGGTGAACCAAAAAAAGAACAACTGCCTCACAACGCGCACCTTTCTGTGCTTCCAACGCGGAAACAGGAGAGGACTGCTAAAGTCTTGAAATGCATCACGCACACAGTAATTTTATTGTGTTTTCACAAGGACAGACTGAGTGGTTGCTTGTTGTCAATTCTTCAAATGGCACATTGATGCATCTTCTCGAAACAAATGCGTTCATTGAACGAGTGGTTCCAAGTTGCTTGAACTACACAGTGGTTTAACAACATATTGTCCCAGGAACATACTAGACAGAACAAAAGAATGGGAACTCTTCAGGAGTTGCAGCCGTCTCAAAGGTTCTGACAACCTCTACCAAGCAGCTCACACATCTTTTGCTGTTTCTCCTGAGTAGGTGGAGATTGGATGAACTATATACAGTGCAGTTCATACACATTTGGATACATTTGTCAAGAGAATGCTTCTGATTATGGGTGTTGGTGTGTATGTGTGATTATGTGTGTGTGTATGTGCGTGTGTATGTGCGTGTGTGTTTGGGCGTGGTTTGCGACAGGTTTGCCTGCGTGTCTCCATGTTCATCTGTCTGTCTGCCTGCCTGTCTGCCTGATTGTCTGTTTTTCTGTCTGCCACTTTCTCTATCTCACTTTTTTTCCCTTGCTGTCTGTGCGAATGTCTAAAGGCTTCAAGTCTGTCTGTCTGCCTGTCTGCATGCTTAGCAAACAATCCTGGAGTTTTCCATCACAAAACCTGAAGACAGACGTGCTCCAACACACGAACGTGGAGAATGTGATCTTTGGATCCTTTTGCATGCCAGCAAGGGCGTTTGCTTCTTCCGAGTGGGTTCTGCGTGTAGCTTTCCAGACTGGCAGGAAGAAAAACAAATTTGAACAAATTCTGATTTTTTGGTAGCACCAAGACCACCGCATGAAAAAAATAAAAATATAATTACATTATGTGCATACATGTGCATACTTATGTGTACACATACACATGAATATAGATATAAATACACATCTTCACATATTAAGTACACATATAGATGTAAACACACCTATACATATACCTATATCTACAACTATACCTATCCGTATAGACATATAACATATAGATTTAGACATAGACTTAAATATACAGACACAGACATTTTGACATAAGCAGGTAGATAGACATATACATATAGACATATGGACATATACATCTAAATAGACATATACATATAAATATATACATATAGATATATAATGATACATACATATACATATAGATATACATATGCTCATACGTATACCCATGCGTGCGCTCATGCGTGCACTCATATGTCTACTCATAGGTGTACTCATACGAATATTCATAGGGATTGTACTCAAAGGTATCCAAAGGGGTATATTCATACCTGTACCAAGGATACTCATATGTAGATGTACACACACGCATATACATACATACATACATACATACATACATACATACATACATACATACATACATACATACATTACATACATACATACATACATACATACTTACACTGCATTACAATACTTTACATTACATCACATCACATCACATTGCATTACATACATACATCCATCCATGCATACATACATTCATACATACTTACATACGTACATACGTCCATACATTACATACATTACACACATTACATACATTACATATATTACATGCATTACATGCATTACATACATCACATACATTGCATACAGTACAGGCATTATATACATTACATACATTACATACATTACATACATACATACATACATACATACATCCATCCATCCATCCATGCATGCATGCATGCATGCATACTTACTTACATACATACATACAGACATACATACATACACTACATACATTACATACATTACATCATACATACATACATACATACATGCATCCATGCATCCATGCATCCATGCATCCATGCATCCATGCATCCATGCATGCATGCATGCATACATACATACATACACCTACCTACCTACCTACCTACATACATACATACATACATTACATACATACATACATACATACATACATACGTACATACATACATACATACTTACACTGCATTACAATACTTTACATTACATCACATCACATCACATTGCATTACATACATACATCCATCCATGCATACATACATTCATACATACTTACATACGTACATACGTCCATACATTACATACATTACACACATTACATACATTACATATATTACATGCATTACATGCATTACATACATCACATACATTGCATACAGTACAGGCATTACATACATTACATACATTACATACAGTACATACATTACGTACATTACATACATTACATACATTACATACATTACATTCATTACATAGATTACATACACTACATACATTACATACATACTTACATGCATGCATGCATGCAAACATACATACATACATACATGCATACATGCATACATACATCCATGCATTGCATTACATTACATTACATAACATAACATTACATTACATTAGATTATATGGATTAGATTAGATTAGATTAGGTTACATACATACATACATACATACATAACTTGCATACTTAAATGGAGCACCTCGCAGGCAATGAAACACAAGCTCATATTGTTTTCCAATTTTGCTGAGGTCATTTTGGTTTGCCTCTTTTAGGCTGTAGGACTAGGCAGCGCATGACAGGAAATTGCAAATCGAACTGATGGTGGTGCAGGGATGGAAGGTGGGCGCTGCAAGCAAAACAAGGATGGGATCCCCGCAACACAAGAGTGAATTGTATTTGCCAAGACCACTCGTAAAAGATCAGTGCCAGTAAGTCCCTCTGAACCATCAGGCTGCAAGAGAGGCCGTACAGGGGCTGGAGGGTTCAAATCATTGGGCAAGGGTATGTACCTTGCCTGGCTTGCTGAACCACACGGCGGTGAAATGGACACAGCTTTCACCTGAGGTGAACGTATCCAAGACAACACCAACTCCTGATTCGACCTGCTTGACAGGTCTAGCTTCCTCACTGCTGCCTTTGGCAGTTTTGGAACAGTTTTGTCTATTGCAATGCAGTTGGAAAAACCCTTTCGTTTCAACGAAGCAATCACTCCAGCAGTACCACAACAAATCTCAAGCACCACAGCTTCACTGAAAAAATTCTGTGCTTCTGGTTCGGCCGTGACTTCAGATAGACACTCAGCAGCCCTTGGTGTTGGCATTTCTGGCGCGTGCCTCTTTGAAATTGTAAGGGTGCACCTTGAAACAACCGGCTTTGAAACACACATGCCTTCCCTTGGAACATGAGCCACGTCACATGTACCCCAGTTGTAGTTGAAACAAATTGCACGATTATTTCCATCACGTCCCACACAACCAACCATACCCTCAGCAGCGCTGTTTGAGCCGCCATCACCCTTGCCTTTCTGCTTACCTTTGGACTTGCCCTTGGTGCGACGAAACTGACTGACATCATCAGGAGGTGTAGCTGTCATCATGGCCAGCAGATTTTGTTAAAGGCAGCAAACGAAATGTTGTATTATAGTCCTGCAGGGCTTGTACAAGCATTGCGTCCAGAGGTTCGACATGCGGCCTGATGTCATCACAATTTTGTGCAAGGTTCCCTTTTAGCACGCATCACCTGTGAAAGGGTTGTTGAGTGGAACCTTGGTGGAGCCTCTATGGAAAGATGGTGGAGAAGTTTTTCTGAGTACTTCTCGTGACTCTGAAACGTGATCAATCCAGCGGAGTCATATGCGAGTCCTCTTCTGCGAAGGCACTGTGCTAAGTGGTATGTTGTGCTTAAGGACTCGTCTGGCATCATTTTGTTCTCTTTGACTGTCAACGTACATGCGTCTAGTTTCAACTTCTTGTCAGTCTCACTGGTTACCACCTCTGCTCACGTGAGGTACATTTGCATGGGTCTATACACCTAAGCACTCTGGACTCGAACTGGTGGCAAGCTTCATCAAGGAGTGCATGGCTAGGTTCACCTATGCCCGGAATGTTGAGGCCCTGGAGCCTAGTTTCCAACTCAGTCAACCTGGCAGAGCGTTCAGCAAGTGGGATTGTTTTTGGACTTGTAGGATCGGCTGTCTCAACACTGGCTTTCAAAACAGAAGTGGCCACAATCTCAGCTTCAAAATGAAGGCGGCGTAACGCGGCTAGCTCACCAATTGTGGGGACCGCATCGTTGTTCACTTGTCTGGCCCATGTATTAAATTGGACTTCGTCGAAATCCGCACCAGGTGTAAAAGCAGCCAAAGCAAGCTGTCCAAACGTGTCAAACCCATGGTTTTCTAGACGTGTCAAAAGGTTGGCTGAGAGACCGTACTCCCTTGCTCTTGCCACAAAATGCGGCTTGCTATCTAGCTGGCTTGTCATGGCTTGAACCACTTGCATGCATCAAAACCAATCTCAAATGTGAAGGCCTCATCGCCAAACATGTAGAACACCAACCAAAAAAAAACATCGCAACAAACACACAAACATGAGAGGAGTTGGACCTTTCATGCATACCTCAGACCTGTGCAACAAGGTTTGAACTTTGGTGACATGCATCTATGCCCAAGGTTGCCACACAATGGCACAACTGCTTGGGCAGATCAAACATGACCGTGCATACACGGTTACATTCTGACTACACTGAATAGTCACCAGAATGAGCTGCCATAGCAGAAAGTCAACGCTCAATCCGGGAAGCATTTGCCACACCGGAATCCCGTTGGATCCGAGGCTCAAATTTAACTGGCGCTCACCTTGCGTCCACATTTGAACGTCTTGTCATCCTTGGATTTGTGTATGACAAGTGAGGCAGGATTCACAAAAAAACTGAGGCAAATCTTCCGTTTCATATTCACATGGCAGGACATCTTCAAGCTGCACCACTTCACCGGAAGAAGAGGCAACCAAAAAGGTCTTCCTTTTTTGGGATCATGGCCAGGTCCCGCACCCCACAGTTTTTTGCACTTTTGACTTCGAAGTACTTCCAAAAGTGGTCCGAACATGGAGGTGCTTTGTACATTTTGACTTCGACATGTGCTTCGCGCCACAGCAGCGTGCACTTTTTCGACATCTCAACTTCTAAAAGTGCTCCGACGCTGACGTGTTTTATACTTTTTGACTTGCAAATGTGGTTCGCACCAGAACTGCGTTTTCATCTCTCATCTGGCCAGCTGGCTCCGGACCCGCCGCTTTAGCGAGCCTACTTTTCGACCCTCCGGAGCCACAAAGCATTGGAAAAACATAGTGTTTCGCGACTTTCCTACTTTTTCGCGCACCTGGATCTTCTTTCTTCTGAGACTTTCTCTTGCTTCTTCTCTCCTTTTCTCTGACTCTTCCCATCTCTGCTTTTCATCTGTCCATATTGTCGGAAGTTTGACTTCTAAACTTCCTTCGGCAATACAATCAAAACGCACCACACAACACAATACATACCATGCCATGCCATGCCATACCATACCATACCATACATTACATACATTACATACATTACATACATTACATACATTACATACACTACATACATTGCATACATTACATACATACTTACATGCATGCATGCATATATGCATACATACCTTCCTACATACGTACATACATACATACATATGCATGCATACAGAAACAAAACAATAAATGAATAAATAATAAATAAATAATCAATGAATGACTAAATAAAAATAAAAAAATACATAACATTACGTTACATTACATTATCATTTACAGTTACAGATACATTTACAATTACATGTACTTTCACACTTACATTTACATGTACGTTTACACTTACATTATGTTACATTACAAACATACACTACATACATACATATATCCATCAATATATATATATATTTATATACGTGCACCTGCATATGTACATGTATCATATATGTATCGATTGATTGATGATTGATTTAACTATCTCTTTTTTGATTGACAGATACATATGATGGATGGATGGGTGGATGGATGGAGGGATGCATGGATGGGTGGCTTGATGGATAGATAGGGAGATAGAGGGATAGAGAGATACGGAGATGCGGAGGTAGAGAGATAAATAGATAGATAGATAGATAGATAGATAGATAGATAAATAGGATAGGTAGATAGATAGATAGATAGATAGGTAGATAGATAGATAGATAGATTGACAGAGAGAGAGAGAGAGAGCGAGATAGTTGGATAGAATAGAATAGAATAGGATAGAATAGAATAGACTAGACTAGAATAGAATAGAATAGAATAGAAAAGATTGGTGCGATGGGAGAGATTGGCGAGATTGGATTGGAGAGATTCGAGAGATTGGAGAGATTCGAGAAATTAGACGGATTAGACAGATTAGACAGATTATAGACAGATTAGACAGATTAGATAGATTAGACAGATTAGCTAGATTAGATAGATTAGATAACTTCTCAACTCAGCTTCGGTCTTTTCCATCCAGGCTGGCTCGTAGAAACTCCGTTCTGACCCATCGACGGAAATGAAGCAGGGCCACATTGGGCAGGGCGGGTTAGCTTGAGCATAACCACGCATGACATTCGAAGTTGTGCATCAACTTCTCAACTCAGCTTCGGTCTTTTCCATCCAGGCTGGCTGGTAGATGCACAGGGCCACGGCTGTGCGCGTGGCCTTTTGAAACTCCGTTCTGACCCGCTTGATCCCCACCATGTACGACCCGTGGTTTGCTCTCAGCGGCTTCATTTTGATAGACTATGTACCAGACATTCTCCGGAACTTTTGCTTGGGCAAGCTTCTCAGCCATCTGAAGCATCCATGAAAAACTGTCAGCACCATTCAGAATGTGGTCTCTTTCTCCTTTGGCAACTTGGGAAAGAATTGGAGGGAAGTGATTTCCTGAATGTAATGTAGATCTCCATGATGCGGCTTGTAAGCCACCTCCCCCTTCTCCTCGTCAGCTCTGCGTCTTCCGACGTAAGGAGAAGCCAAGATGCTCCGCCTGCCCTCAGCGACCCTAAATCCAGGCCTCCTTGCATGCCGTCCGGAAGGCTATCCAAGCCATTTGCAGCAAGAAGTCACTGAGAGCAATGGCTGGAAAATTGACTTCCGAGAAGGTCAGAGGACTTAGTGTCCATTGCAGAGGACCACTGCGGCATGAGTCTGAAGCAGCCAGCACCGAAGCATCGGTCAAATCACCAAACCAGGCGTGATCAGTCGAATTTGGCTTCAGCCACTGTTGCAACACCAAAACCGGAAAAACAGGCCTTCATTGCAAAGGCCGGACAGCTTCGTGCCCTGACCTGCTAAGATTTCCATACCATACGTGGTCTCACTGAGAGCAAGGGCTGCCAAATTAAACTCCAAGAAGGTATATTGTCAATTGCAGAGGGCCTAGTGTCCATTGCAGAGGACCGCTGCGGCATGAGTCTGAACCAGCAAACACCGAAGCATCGGTCAAAAGCCAAAGCAGGCGCGATCCATCGAATTTGGCTTCAGCCACTGTTGCAAAACCAAAACTGGAAAAAACAGGCCTTACTTGCAAATGCCGGACAGCATCGTGCCCTGACTTGCTCCGATTTCAATACCACACGTGGTCTCCGTGAGAGCAATGGAGCAAAGGCTGCAAACTTAAATTCCAAGAAGTAGAATGTCAATTGCAGAGGACCACTGCGGCATGAGTCCGACACCGAAGCATCGGTCAAATCGCCAAAATAGGCGTGATTAATTGAATTTGGCTGCAGCCACTGTTCCAAAACCAAGACTGGAAAAAACAGGCCTTCAGTGCAAATGCCGGACAGCATCGTGCCCTGACTGGCCACGATTTCAATACCACACGTGGTCCCCGTGAGAGCAATTCAATGGAGCAATGGCTCTAAAATTAAATTCTAAGAAGGTATAATGTCAATTGCAGAGGACCACTGCGGCATGAGTCTGAACCGGCAACCACCGAAGCATCGGTCAAATTGCCCAAACAGGCGTGATCAATCGAATTTGGCTTCAGCCACTGCTCGAGAAAGTGATGGTCCACGTGTCCTGGGACAAGCAGGAGCAGTACTGCGGGAAACACAGGCGTGGAAAAAAGTCAACGCCAACATGAGCGAAGGAAGTGCAACAGAAGTGAAACCATCCGACAATATGGAGAAAGGAAGAACGTCAAAACTCGAAGATGTCTCGCAAAATTGCTTTGTAATTGTTACGGATGCGTTTCAATTCCGGCGAAAGCAAAGGTAGAAACCATGTCCACGTGCAGTGCTTGGTCACAAATCACGGAAAGCAGGGTCCTATCCATGGCAAACAGGAAACAACCAAGGCCTCTGCACATGGACACACATAGTCGTTGTACAGTCAGATATATACAGAGACATTTCTTAGCAGTCATCATCTCTACACAGGAAGAAAACATGGACATATCCATATACAGATAGAAATATGTCGATATTATAGATATATCTCGCTACAGGTGGGCACAGATGAAATCGCTAACATGCACCGTGCCCCGCTTTGTCTCTGGGATGCTTGGCAGGCAACAACCCGCCCCGGCGCAAAGCCAAGGAACAGATCCACGCTCAGGCATACGATGCTCCTTTATACGAAGAGACACAAGAAGCGGCAGCGGCGGGGCTGCTGAAGCGAGCGTACAGCGTCTGTCCATCGACATACAAAGTTGCCACGGGGCCTGCAGGCTCCAGCTTGCTGCAAAGAGAAACACTTCGCCTAAACACCCCCTGAAAGGCGGCACGCAGCAAACAAGTGTGCTACCAAGAGACCAAAGAATTGAAGTTGCTGCTTTGCAGCTTCTGGATCCGTCACATCCGTGACCACCACCCGAACCCGTTTATCCACCCGCGGCTGCGCACGCAGCTGGCTAGGAACCCTGGTGAGGTTTGCCCGCACCGTCGAATTGCTTGGACTCCGGGTTCGAGAGCGCCTGGGCGCCAGGTAACTGTGGTAAGGATGGTGGTGATAGGGGGTGTGATAGTGGTGCTTGTGAGAAGGATGGCCGTGAGAATGATGGTGGTGATAGCGGTTGTGATAGTGGTGGTTGTGAAGGTGATGGTTGTGATGGTGGTAGCGGAGCACATGAGTTCGTGACCCGACAAGATCTGTTGGAAGCCAGTTGCGACACCAAGCAACTGGCGTTGGCTTCGAGACACGTCGGCCTCGCCGTGGAGCCGTGGAACTGGGAATATCTCAGATGTGTTGCCGATAAATACCTGACGGGGGACCCAGGAAATTCGCGACAGGGTTCCATTTGTTCCATGAAAGTGGTCAGGGTCTGGAGAGAAAGCAAGAGCAGCAACGTGCCAACGCAGGAGAAAACGTGTTGGACCCCGAAAGCCCACCTGGTCGTCAACAAAGTCGAGGTGGTTGGAGGCGATCCACTGAAGTGGTTCGAATGGAAACTGCATCAAGCCTCACCAGGTTTGCGGGGTGCTGGCAGGTGGTGATGGTATCGACCCTTCCAAAAGTATGACCGGTTTTTGCCAGCATCATCATCAGCATTATCAGCATCAGCATCATCATCGGCATCACCAGCAGCATCATCAGCAGCAGCATCCGTATCGGCATCGTCATCGTGATCCTCACAATCATCAGACTCCCAAGTGCAATCACCATTGCATCCTCCTCCTCCTCCTCCAACACAAAGGGGCGAGCTGGACCTTGGTATTCGGCCCAACCAGTGCTGAAGCATCCGTTGTCAGTGCATTTGACATCACCTCCTCCGGAAAAAAGTCCACCGGCAGACACAACTTGACCCCGGACCTCCTCCGCATGATAGGGATTGCTAGTACAGCTGGAAGTCTGAAACTTTGGCAAGTCCAAGAGGAGGGGTGAGGACATTGAAACAGGATCCCCTGGTCTGACGTGATGGTAGACGTGGGTGGCATCGCTCTTCTGGGAGGGGAATTCCAAGTGCTTCACAGTAGACAGAAACCTCAGCCAGCGATGGGAAGCTGTGCGAGATGCTGTCGGGAGTGAACTTGGGCAAGGCCTGGTAGTAGTCAGCGGCAGAGCTGCACCTGATGGGCTGATCAATGCCAGGGCCACGCACGATGATGTAAACCACAGGGCGCAAGGCAATCTTGGGTGTTGGGCGCGGCTTGGCAACGCGGCCGTCCAATGTGGCCCTTGCCCACAATCCAGCCTCCCAGGCTCGTCGGGCAGCGACTCCTCAGTGCCCTGTACCCTGCTGCAAAGGCCAACGCAATAGAAACGCACAGGAGTAATGGACTCAGCACCTCGTGGTATGCAGAAGAAGGATAACTGATGACACCTCTGTCCACACCGTATCAGAATGCCGGCTGCTAGCTGACCCAGAACCTCCGGCTCGTCCTCCCCCACTAGATCTTACCTCCTCAATCTCACCGTCTTGGATGTGATCCAAGGCTGACTCAAGAGAATCAGCAGCCAGCCTCAAATGTTGGATGGCCTCACGGACGGTGGAGATGAGGTGGCCAACCGCTCTCATGCAAATAGGCCGCCATCCGATGCAGGTTGAAGAAGTGGCTCAGCAGGTCGAGGATGGACAGGAGCAGGGGTAGAGTGGAAACGAAGGTAGATGAATGCCAGGACAGCACTTGCACCAAGTCCAAATCCAGAGGTGAAGACGAAGAGTAGGACAGGAATGGAAAGAGTGCAATGCGCCGGACACGAAACCCCAAACCAGCCACTAGAGGTACCTGCCAACAAGAAGCTGACACCTTCAGAAACCCAGGGATGCATTTAGCTTGAGCATAATCACGCATGACATTCTAAGTTGTGCATCAGATTAGATAGATTAGATAGACCAGATAGATTAGATAGAACAAATAGAATAGAATAGAATAGAACAGAAAAGAATAGAATAGAATATAGAATAGAATATAGAATAGAATATAGAATAGAATAGAGAATAGAATAGAGAATAGAATAGAGAATAGAATAGAGAATAGAATATAGAATAGAATAGAGAATAGAATAGAGAATAGAATAGAGAATAGAATAGAGAATAGAATAGAGAATAGAATAGAGAATAGAAAAGAGAATAGAATAGAGAATAGAATAGAGAATAGAATAGAGAATAGAATAGAGAATAGAATAGAGAATAGAATAGAGAATAGAATAGAGAATAGAATAGAGAATAGAATAGAGAATAGAATAGAGAATAGAATGTAGAATAGAATATGGAATTGAATGTGGAATTGAATATGGAATTGAATATGGAATTGAATATAGAATAGAAAATAGAATTGAATATGGAATTGAATATGGAATTGAATATAGAATTGAATATAGAATAGAATATAGAATAGAATATAGAATAGAGTATAGAATAGAATATAGAAAAGAATATAGAAAAGAATATAGAATAGAATATAGAATAGAATATAGAATAGAATATAAAATAGAATATAGAATAGAATAGAGAATAGAGTAGAGAATAGAGTAGAGAAAAGAGTAGAGAATAGAGTAGAGAATAGAGTAGAGAACAGAGTAGAGAATAGAGTAGAGAATAGAGTAGAGAATAGAGTAGAGAATAGAGTAGAGAATAGAGTAGAGAATAGAGTAGAGAATAGAGTAGAGAATAGAGTAGAGAATAGATTAGAGAATAGAGTAGAGAATAGAGTAGAGAATAGAGTAGAGAATAGAGTAGAGAATAGAGTAGAGAATAGAGTAGAGAATAGAGTAGAGAATAGAGTAGAGAATAGAGAAGAGAATAGAGAAGAGAATAGAGAAGAGAATAGAGAAGAGAATAGAGAATAGAATAGAGAATAGAATAGAGAATAGAATAGAGAATAGAATAGAGAATAGAATAGAGAATAGAATAGAGAATAGAATAGAGAATAGAATAGAGAATAGAATAGAGAATAGAATAGAGCCTAGAATAGAGCCTAGAATAGAGAATAGAATTGAGAATAGAATTGAGAATAGAATAGAGAATAGAATAGAGAATAGAATAGAGAATGGAATAGAGAATAGAATAGAGAATCGAGAATAGAATAGAGAATCGAGAATAGAATAGAGAATCGAGAATAGAATAGAGAATCGAGAATAGAATAGAGAATCGAGAATAGAATAGAGAATCGAGAATAGAGAATAGAGAATAGAATAGAGAATAGAATAGAGAATAGAATAGAGAATAGAATAGAGAATAGAATAGAGAATAGAATAGAGAATAAATAGAATAGAGAATAGAATAGAGAATAGAATAGAGCCTAGAATAGAGAATAGAATAGAGAATAGAATAGAGAATAGAATAGAGAATAGAATAGCGAATAGAATAGAGAATAGAATAGAGAATGGAATAGAGAATGGAATAGAGAATAGAATAGAGAATAGAATAGAGAATAGAATAGAGAATAGAATAGAGAATAGAATAGAGAATAGAATAGAGAATAGAATAGAGAATAGAATAGAGAATAGAATAGAGAATAGAATAGAGAATAGAATAGAGAATAGAATATAGAATAGAATAGAGAATAGAATATAGAATAGAATATAGAATAGAATATAGAATAGAATATAGAATAGAATATAGAATAGAATAGAATAGATAGACAGATAGATAGATAGACAACTAGTAATTAGATAGATAGACATGTATATATAGGTACTGTCAAACTGACAGTGGCAGCGCAGCGGAATGTTTCTCACCAACCTGCGACCATGGAACGTCGCCTGTCAGCATCGGATACTAAGGGCCCCTGAGTTGTTCGGGCCATATGGCCATTGAATCATGCCTGAGTCAGCATGGAACGTTTGGGATCAACCTTGGTCACACAGGTTCATGAAAATCACAGCTCCCAACATTTTGATTGATCCCAAACCGCCTGATGCCGTGGGTCGTCTGACCTAGTTCCCGTGCTTCATGCCTTGCTTGCATGTGATCTTGTTCAGCGGTCAGTTGAAATTCGCCGCTTTTCAAAACCCTGTACAAAGCACTGTTGGAACCCTTTATCTTTGTCAGTCCATCGGCTATCATGGCTGGGTGGTCTAACCATCTGATACTACCTTGCAGACTATCTAAATCTTCCCTAATGATCTGAATTTCTATGGCAGTTCTCTTGTCAGAACCCCCAACCGTCTCTTTGCAAAGCTGATCGTACAAACTTTTGGCATCTACAATAGCTAAGCTGCCCTTCAGTTCTTCAGACGTGGAACGAGAGGCCATTGCCACCACTTTGCTCGCGCTCAGCTTCTGCGGCCACATCCGCAGCTCAAAGTCTTGGCACCTCAGCTCTTCAAAGAGGACCATTGTCCAAAGAAGATCTCCTAGTCCACGCGAAAGACTCTGGGTCTCTGCAGCAAGTGTGCTATTTACTACCCTTTGTATTTTTCCACTCCTCCAGCAAAGCACGTTCGTTCTCACTCTTTTGTTTTGTTGCAAACCGTCCTCATAACTCAAAATGATCTGACCACTTTGAGAGTGCATGCCGTCATTGCCAAAAGAAGCATCGCTGACCACTCCAAATTTCATATTCACCAATGGCTGAATTCGTATGCATAACTCTGGGACCTTTTTCACGCTTCTGATCACATCGTTCAGCGCCATGACATCTTCTACTTTTGCTGTCGCAAGTTTGGATGACAGCAAGCTTGCCGGCCCAGACAAATCTGGCCGACCCTCTTTCGAAAGCCAGTTGAGCGATCCGCACGCCGCTCGCATGAGCGACTTCTCTGTGTCATTTGCTTCGCTTTTCTTTTGTGTCGCCCTACCCTTCTCCAACCTGACCTCTTGCAACCTCTCCTCTATAAACTTCTGCATGTCAATCTGAAACTCGCCTTCTGCTGTCTGTCGCAACCGCCTGCCATTAAACATTGCGCCTTCTGGTGTGCTCTTGAGATCCACCCATTTTCCAAAGGTAAATCTGTCTCTGAGTTTTGCCATTTGCTCGCTGTGCATCTCGCCTCCTACCATGAACAAGTCATCCACCTCTATAGCTATCATGCCTTCTATCTGGTTTCCTTTGTATATCTTGTATATGCATGGGTCTAACTTGCTCTGCTGATAGTTGAGGGTCTTCAAGAAATCCGTGAGCGACTTCCTCCAGTGCAGTGGTGCGTCCACCAGTCCATAGCAACCAGCTATGATTACAGCTATGCATTCCGGATCCACTCCTTCGATGCCCTCAGGCGGCTGCCTGAAGTACAGAGGACCTTCTTTTCTCTCCAAGGGTTGGCTCTGACAAAAGGCATTCTTGAAGTCCCCTATTGCACCGCTCATTCCAGCGTTTGCTGCAATCTGCATCATCACTGCTAGGTTCATGGTTGTCACCGTAGGAGAAAATTTCTCCAACCCCATGATGTCAGGGTCCAGATCTCCTCTCAAACACAGCCTGCTCTTCTTGCTGGCTGGAACTCCTGGTTGTTCTGAAGGCTTGTAGCGCCGAGCTATCTTTGTTGGAAGGATTCTGCTTGACCTCCCTTCCTGTGCCAGCTGCTGCTTGACCTTCCTGGATTCCTCCACCGATAGGAGCTTCACTGCTCCACTTTCAATGATCTTGTTCCACTCTGCCTTGTCGAACTGCTTCCATTCCTTCAGGTCTTCTGCACTCTCCTTCTTCATGTCCACTTCATCGGACCTTTTACGCTCAGCCATGAGCGTTTCGAGTGCTTGCAGCTCGGCTTCTGGGACTTGTTGGCTAAGAAAGAAGGTCGTCTTTCCCTTCCACCAGGACTTCTTCTTGTTTTCCCGCTTCCTTGGCTCTCTCGCCCACTCATCTTCAATCTCCTCATCGGGAAGGTTGTCCTGATATTTCACTTCGGTCTTCCTCCGACAGCTAAGTTGGTCCAGATCGACTGGACATTCTTCCTCTGGCTGGAAGAGTGTCTTCCTCTTCTTCAGATGATGTCTTGTCAGCTGCCCTTTTCGGAGGTCCACCTGCCAATAGTCCCCACTGCCCTTCTTCTTCACTTGTGCCTGACTAGCCAATGTTTGCCATCTTGCTCTGGCCTGCTCCAGCTCTTCCTCTTCTGCATCTTCTTCCGCTGCCAGGAACATTTCCCAATGGTATGGGTTGCTGCCTTCTCTCCTCATCCTCCATCCCCTGATGGGGCTCGTGCTTGGCAAGCCATCTAATCGGTTGCTCATCTCAACCGATCTTCTGACATTCTCCTCAAATGCTGGGTCTGTCATTTGCTCTGCTGTGGGCTGGTGGCTTGCGACGACGATGCTGTCGTCTCGAAGGGATGGTGCTTGGCTGCTGCTGCTTATGCTTTCCTGTCCTGGCTCCTCAATGCTGGCTCCTCCTCCGGTGTTTTCCCTTTCGGGCTCCTCAATTGTCTGTACTGATATCCTCCTGATATCCCGCTCTGCTGGGCTGTTTGATGCTATGCTTGGTTCGTATGGCTCATCATCCTCTTGACCCAGATCAAACCTGACGTGGGCTCTGCTATCTTCTTCCTGTGGTGCTGCTTCTTCATGTTCTTCTTCATCTGGCCATGGCTGTTCAGTCAGGTCTTTGTACCCTGTCCTTTTCGAGCTCTTTCGGTACTCTTCTATTATCTCCTTGCATTCACTCAGTACCAGCTCGATTCCTTCCTTTTCCAGGTTCGTGGCTGGACGACATTGCTCTCGAGCTACCTTCCATAGCTCACCCCAAACCGTGACCCAGAGATTGGCTCCGTCTACGGTCACCACCGTGGCGGGACCAACCCATCTTGGCTTGTTGCGTGGTTGGTCAAAGCTTTGTTCTCCGCCATCCTTTCTCTTCCTTTGTCGGTGGACCCTGTAGACGTACACATAGTCTCCTGCCTTGTACTCCACTGTCACCTTGCTTCGTGCTCTCTGCACTTGTTGCACTGTTCTTCTTGCGTTGTGTTCTATGAAGGACTTCTGTGCTATCCTTCGCATCTCATGCAGCCTTTCTATGTCATCGACCAAAGCTCCTGACACCAACATCGGATCAATTGCTTCATCCGACATCAGTTCGGCCGGACTTCTCGGCCATTGACCTATCTGCCTCTGCACAGGTGAAAACCCTGATCTGTTTGAGTACCTGTTCTTTACCTGTTCTACTTCTTGCATGAGAAGCCGGAGTTCCTTCTCACAGGTCAGGACCACCTCACTTCTGGCCTTCTCAAGAAGTTCCTTGTAGTGGTCACCATGCCTTTCTGTCTTGCCGTTCTGCCATGGGGCCCTGGCCCCTGTCTGGAAAACCACCATGCCATGACCTGTTGCCTTCTTGTTGAAGCCGGATAGGAACTCCCTTCCTGGATCACAGACTATGACTTCCGGTGTGCCGAAGGTGCGGATCCAGCTGGACCACATGGCTTCCCAGACCGTGTCCGGCTCTTTGTCGGGCAACAGTTCGACCATCTGGTAATTGGTGCCCCAGTCCAACATTGACAAAGCTGGCTGCAGTTTCTTTCCTCCAACCTGAGGAATGTAGATTAGGTCAATTCCTAGGACCTTGTTGGGCTGGTATGTTCTTGGTATGCTTCCGACCCTTACCGCTTTCGGTTTCGGCCTGCTTTCGCACACCTGACATCTGTAGTTTTGAGCTGCCCAACGGACCACCTCTCCTTTGATCCTTGCCGACTTCATAAACCTGATCAGTTCATTGAGAGGAGGATGTCCTAATCCTCTGTGCAGCTTGTCCAGTGCCCTCCTTTCTTCAGAGCTTATAGTGGAGCTGCTTTCCTTGTCACCTTCTTCTTCCCCTATGGCTTCTACCTCCTGTGGGTCTTGATCGGGGATTTCATCTTCGTCTTCTTCATCTTCTTCCACATAGACCTCATGTGTTTCTTGGCTGTTCGACTTCCTTAGAAACCATCCGCCGTCTTTCTGCATCTGATTCATGATGCCCTTCATGACCGCTTGGCAAAACCCTGGTGGGTATACTTCTGCCTTGTGTGCTATGCCGCCCATGAGTTGCTGGTGTGTGTGTTGCCCTGTGCACTTGCTGCTGAGCTGCTGCACTATCTCCGGTCCATTGGTAAGAATGCCTGTGGGCTTTTGGTTGAAGGCCTCTCCTTCAACCTTCATGCCATACTGGCACATGTCACAGCGGGTTCTGATCATGCCTGGCATCTGCTGTATCTCCTGCATTTCTGGTTCCTGCCAAGATCTAGCTCCATGTGGATGTTCGAAGATGACATACTTTCCTCTCTTCACCTGCCATTTGATCAGCTCCATCGCCAATTGCAAGTGCTCCAGCCCGATTTGTACCAGCTGAAAGGCTGAGTCAAATCCCATTCTTCTGAAATTCAGGGACTGGAGTATGGAAAATGCCTTGCATGGCGGGCATATGAGTAGAACCATTGGGTCTTCCTCCCGCAGGCTCTGCCAAAACTTCTTCCGTTGGGCCTTGTCAGTGAGGTCCCATCCGCTCAGGAGATCATATGCCTGGCCTGTCTTTAGACCTTTCTCCCGGCAGACCTTCGTCACCCTTGGAGGGGAGTACACCTCGCTCAGTGTAACTCCAGCACTCTTTTGATAGAGTACCTCCATATCCTGATGGAGCCTCCTTCTTTGCTTCCGGGTGAACTGAACCTCCCTTCCATTGTCCCAGGTGTCCTCCATCCTGGTCTTGCCTGTCATCCTGACCTTGGCCCTGATGAGTCCTTCCTCCTCAAGTGGGATCCTTCCCTTGTACTCCTGCCATTCTCCTTCCTGCCATACCTGATAGACCTCCTCAGCCATCAAGCCGTGATGGCTCCTTCCTCTCCTGTTGGCCTGCTGCATTCTCCTCAAGCATCTCCTTCCTCTTAGGGTGGAAGCCCAACCCCATTCCTCATCTGGCAACTCCTTCAATCGGAGATGCTCTGAACCTCCTGTCCTGCCGTCTCCTCGAACTTCCTTCGTGGGCTCTTGGACCTCCTCCTGCTTGCCTGGCTGGCTGGTACCTGTGCTGGCCTGCTGTTGGCGGTGTGTGTTGGTTGGCTCGATGCTGCCATCTCGGAGCCGACGACACTCCAGCTGTCGGGTATCGTCCCGTTCTCCAGTGGTGCCCACTCGAAGAAGTCGCATGCCCTCTGCATGCATTTGAAGAAGGTTCGACCCTTCCTTGGTCCTTCCTTCTTGACCACCAACCTCTCTGACGCCTGCTGGCATCTGCATAGAGGTGTGCTCATTGGTCGTGTTGGTAGTTGGTTCGGCATGCTCCCAAGAGTGCTCTCCCGGGGTGCTGGGTATATGTTCTGTGATGCTGATGCTGTGCTCATCCTCAATCTCTCCTCTGTCTCTGCCATCACTGCATTGATGCGTGCTTCCATCTTGATCTCCATCTCTCGGGTGGCAATCCTCTGTGCTTCCAACTCCTTGTTGAACTCCTCTCGCAGCCTGCTGGACCTTTGCTTCTCTTCCTTCAGCTGCCTGCATAGATCTACCACCTTGCCATCCTCGGTGTGGGTCATTGCTACCTCCTCCATGGCTTCGTCTGTTTCGGTTGCTTGACCCAAGAGGCCCTTCTGTTTGCGGTTGTTCTCCTTCAGATCCTTCTTGAGCTGGACCGCTGGATATGTGTTTTCCCAGCGGGTGTTGCATTCCATGCATGCTATGTAAGACTGTGTCTTGTTGCCACCTCCACGCAGGCTCTTCTTGGGGTGCACACATGAACTTGCTGCCTGCCTTGGTTCCGTCTTGGTCTTGAGAGGGGGCAACACCTTCGCCCCAATGATCAGTTCCGCATACACATCCTCCAACTTCTCTTCCTGCTGCACCGAAGAGCAGACAGGCGAGGGCAGTGATTGAGGAAACCATTCTTCCACTGCCTCTTGAAGACTTGAAAAGGCCAAAATGGTGATGAGCTTGTCGAGGATCACCCTCCAGCCTCTGACGGCTCTTTGTGGATGATGCGATGGCGGAGATTCCTCCATCGCGCTGGCTGGCCTCGCATCGGGAGCCAGACTCGCCCCAATCTTCTTCACTCGCTCCAGCAGCGCCGACATGAGTGGCGCCAAGGCTGGAAGTGCTGAACGTAGGGCTCGAATTTCTATGGTTCTTTTCCTGAGCCACCATTGCTGCCATATTGCACTCTATGACATGTATCTCATCTCCATGACTCAGTTCAAAGTCTTGCTGTTTGCATCCTGGTGCACCTTCAGGAACCTGAAACCTGCCGTTCTCAAAGCCCATGATCTCTACAGTGACGTGACCGCTTGGAAGTGCAAACATGGGTATGGTGATGCCGTACTCTTTCATGTGGAGTTTCATGTCATGCAAGTCTATGACTGTCTTCAAGGCTGTCATCATGCGGATTGGAAGAAGCAAAGGAACATCTCCTTCAACCACCGTGGCTTCTAATAGTCCATTGACTCCCCCAAGCCCTAGTGGTAAAAGTACAACTCCTAAAACTTTGGCTTGACCTCCAACTCCTTTCGCTGCTGATTTCTTTGGAATCCACTTGCACTGCAAACCAAACTCCTTCAACTTTCTCTGAATCTTTTCTAGTGTGGTGGATCCAACTAGTCCTCCCTCTGCTGCAGTGTCTACTACTCCATGCTCTGGACTAGTTGAAATGCCGCAAAAGGGAACAGCGTCCGCCTTGTATGACTCGTTGCGCTCAGCCACATTGGTCTTTGCCCTGCTTTCTACAAACTGACGAAGCCAAAAATGTGACCTTCCACTTTGAGAGTCACTGGCCTCAGCTGCTACAAAGAAACCAGACTTGGAGGTTGATGCCGACGAAGTGGTTCCGCTCTGCGCTGACTGTCCGGCGCGGTTCTTGGGCTCATTTCTGCATTCACGGCTCAAGTGTCCAATCTGATCGCATCGCCAACAACGGGTTCGAAGCTTGACCTGCTCCTGGTGAACTCTCTTCCATTTGCCTTTGCCCTGGTTCTTGCCAAAACCCTTGCCATCGGGGAAGCCTTTGTAGTGACCACGACCTTTCTGCTGATCCTTGACAGCACGTCGGATCTCTTGGTAACTGGCTAAAGCCTGCAAAACGTCTTCCTCCTCAAGGATTTGGTCCAAATCTCCTTCTTGGAGATAGATGTATTCATCGTCATCTTCATCTGCTATCATGCCATAGGGGTCTTCAACGTGGAAGGCCTCGTGGTACTCAGTCTCCGCTTCAGCCAGGAAGTTGCCTTTGCCCTTCTCCCTGACGACCTTGTCCAATTTTCGGAGAGTTCTGATGACCGTTTGACGATCATACTTGCCATCTGCCCAAACCAAGAATCTTTGCTCTTGGCTCTCGGTGAGTGCTGCCTGTCTAAACAGGATGTAGCCTTGGGCTCCATCCGGGAGGTCCACACCCTCCTTTTTCAACCGGCAAAAGCATTTGTCAGCCCTGGCAAGGTACTCACTAAAACCTTCCCCTTTTTGCCTGGGCGTCCCATAGACAGCAGCTTCAAAAGCCCTAGGGAGTGCAACTTCAAGGTGTGGCAGAAAGTACTCTTGGAGCCTCTGCATTATGTTGGCAACCCCTTTTTCACATGCTATCTCTTCAAAACTCATTTCTTCAACCGCCATCCTAGCATTGCCCGACAAGGCTCTAAGCAACTTCACTCCCCGTTTTGCCGGGGCCACATCTGTCTCAAACTCCCATAGTTTGATGTTTTTCTCAAAAACTGCAAAGGAAGTTTCTGGCTCTTCCCCACTATACGACGGGGGTGGATCCCTATCTCTCAGAAAACCACTCCCCTCCGGCGCCCCAGCAGCGGCTGAAGCAGCCACCACGGAAGTTGCTCCTGTCAAACTGCTTGGCTGGCCAGGTTGACCAAGGGTTCCTTGCCCATCTTCTGGATCTGGCGTTGGCATCTATCCTGATCAGGTTGTGACAGCAGCCGCGCAGCCCCCTTCACGAAGCCGGGGCTCCGCTACCACTGTCAAACTGACAGTGGCAGCGCAGCGGAATGTTTCTCACCAACCTGCGACCATGGAACGTCGCCTGTCAGCATCGGATACTAAGGGCCCCTGAGTTGTTCGGGCCATATGGCCATTGAATCATGCCTGAGTCAGCATGGAACGTTTGGGATCAACCTTGGTCACACAGGTTCATGAAAATCACAGGTACGTATATAGCATATATGCAGATTCATTTACCATCAAATCTTGCAAAGGATGAAGAACCCAAACAGCCAGGGTTCATTTTGAAATGAATTGGTTACAATATATAGAGTTGCCTGAAAGCTGTCATTCCAAACGCTCGTCGCGTTCTATTGTGATTTTGCCGTCATATCAAGACTCCCGAATCTGGTCCGGTGTGGCATGATCAGCACGTGTCAAACTACTCTCTCTCTCTCTCTCTCTTATGCATGATCATGCGTAAATTTTCTATTCTTGCATTTTGTGTATGCGTGCGTTTCATTTGCGTCGCTCAGAATCTGGTAACGTCATTCGGGTTCTTTCTTTGGTGAAATTGTTTTTTGTTCCGCAAATTTGAAGGCAGTGGATTTGCCTAGCGATAAATGCTGGATTGTCCAGTTCGAGACTCGTTTCCTGGAGGAAAAATGTTTGGGATGCCAGTGGTTGCTGCGTTTCTGTTCTTGAAAATGTTTACTTTCATTTTCTCTGCATTCCTTCCTTTAGATTTGGGCACATGTAGTCAGTTCATGTGCGCTGATCCCAACTGTCCGTTTTTCTTGTAGTTTGTCACTGGTGACGACTACCAGGCGTTATCAGCCGTTTTGGTACTGAATCACCAAAAATACCCAGGTGAAGGGTTTTCCCACGTCATCACAAATGCAGAAACGTGTACAAACGAAGAATCATTGCCGTAGTTGGAATTTGTGTTTTGACAAAATGTGTATTGTTCATGATCATGATTCACCACATATGATCTCACCCCATAAAATGAATTTGGCTATTGACTTGGTGACTCCACAAATTAAAGGACTTGAACAATTCAGTTTGAGGTGTTGAATTTGGCATTTGACACAAGGCACAAATAAATCGGACCCGTGAAGTTTGCACTTGTGAATTCAAGTCAGGACCCAATTGTCCCGGTGTGCCCGCGGTCTCCTCTGCACTCATGGCATTGTACTCTTCGTTTCTTGCTTTCTGTTTCTCAATTTCATTCATAAGTTTCATTTGCTTGTACTTGGGATCATCTGGATCCACCAATGAAGATTCGCCGATGTCAACCGGTTTCCAGTCCTCACTGATGGGTTCTTCAGCCTCAATTGTGGATGGCATTGCTTGTTTTGTGACGAGGTCTCCTCCTTCTCCTCCTCCTCTTTTGGCCAATGCAACGCTGGGCTGTGTCAATGACAATGCTCCAACCAAGGCTGTCCTTCGTCCAAGTTGTGAAAACGAACTTTCGAATGCCACTGCCCCATCTTTGGAGTCTCCGTTTGTAGAAACGAAACTTGGAGACCGCGTGGACCACCTTCCTACTTGCCAGCACACCAGCAAAGCAATGCTCAACAAAGCACGTCTCCTGCAATGCAGATTCGGCATGTCGGCTGACAATTTCACACTCCAATGTTTGATCCTAACTGTAACTGCGGTTTTGCATCCATTGCGCAAAATGCAACAAAAAACAACATGAACTTGCAATTGCCGCACTCAAATCGGCATGGATGTACTGCATTTTCCAACTGCAAAATTCATATAGTTTTCGGAGGGGTGAACAGCCGGGGTAACATGGAACAGGGGGTTGCAGCGTCCTCCTACAGTAGCCAATTGTGCCCAACATATACATGCGCATGTTTTTTGACGTCGCAGCACATAGAAAAATAACATGTGTTTTTCCACATTTTTTTGGGTTGTGAAACTTCATGATATGACGGTATGACAAACGTTTTCCGACGAAAAATGTTGCAAAACAAAAACGTTTGTTTGTACTCCGTTTGTATTGGACAAATCACGAAAAACACAGTTCGCATGGTGAAACAAAACAAAACCGCAAAACCCTTGAAACAGCACACACCTGCAGAACAATATTTGCAAGAAAGTGCAAACAGGAACCATGTGTAAAAAACGCCAAAACAAATCTCAAGTACAATTGAACCAAAAACATGAAGTGAACAACAAACAGCATTATCGAGGGAAACGTGAAAAACAGATGCTCCAAAAAATATGACATGTGTTTTCCGGCTGAAATACCAATCGGCGCATCGAATACATTTTTTGCTGACGTCACCAGCTGCAATAACCAGGTGGTTGTGGCCAAAGGTTGCCTTTCACCTTGTTTGTTTTGCGTTACTTTTTATAAGACCAATGCGTCCCAATCTTGAAACCACGGGCTCCCCGTTCGAGGACCCGCTAGCTCCCCAACATTCCAACCAATGCTTCCCAATCTTGGAACCGCGGGTTCCCAGTTCAAGGAACTAACGGTTCCCAAACCTCGAAAAAAATTCTTCCCAATCTTGGAACCTCGGGTTCCTATAGTTCTTAATTCTACCAACTAACGGCTCCCAAACCTTGGAACCAATTCCCCCCCAGTCTTGGGACCACGGGTTCCCAGCTCGAGGAACTGATGGTTCCCACATGTTTGAACCAATGCTTCCCAATCTTGGAACCACAGGTTCGGAGTTCGAGGAACCAGCGGGTCCCAAACCTTCAAACCAATGCTTCCCAAACGTGGAACCCCAGGTTCCCAGTTCTAGGAACTAGCGGTTCCCAAACCTTCGAACCAATGCTTCCCAATCTTGGAACCCCGGGGTCCCAGTTCTATAGGAACTAGTGACTAACGGTTTCCAAACGTTCGAACCAAGGCTTCCCGGTCTTGGAACCGCAGTTCCCAATTCTAGAAACCAGTGGCTCCCGAACGTTGGAACCGATGCTTCCCAATCTCGGTGTTGAAATGTTTGAACCCATGGTTCCCCTGTCTTGGAACCCGGGGCTCCTACTTCTACAAGTAACGGTTCCCAAACCTTGGAACGAATGCTTCCCAATCTTGGAACCTCGGGTCCCCAGTGTGAAGAACTGCCAATTAAGTTCCCAAAGCTTGGAACCAGTGCCTTCCAATCTTGGAACCACCCGTTCCCAGTTCGAAGAACTGCTGCTTCCCAAACCTTCGAACCAATCATTGCCAATCTTGGAACCTTGGGTTCCTAGTGGAAGTTCCTAGTTCTACAAACTAGCGCTTCCCAAACCTTGGAAGCAATGAAGCCAAGGTTCCCAGTTCTAGGAACTAGCGGTTCCCAAACCTGCGAAGCAATGCTTCCCAAACTTCGAACCTCGGGATCCCAGTTCTACACGTTGTCTTCTGCTGTCCTTTTAAATATATTAGCTGGCTCTCATCATCCGATTCGCCGACGATCTCAACTGAACAACAACACCATGGCGTCACAAGATCAGATCTCGCAGTTCTCTCAATTCTCGCCGAGGATCCCTCCATCTCAACCGGACCGATCCCTTTCACGAGGACCAATTCATCATGCTAAGGCCTAGCCACTACCAGACCGACGTGGACCCCTACCACGATGCGGACATCACCTCAACTTCAACCGGGGTTCTCTCCTACGAGCGCATGGGCATCTTCCCCATCACTGACATCGTACCCTTTCCCACCTGCTACGCCATGAAATCCTCCTCCTCCTCCACCATACGGACCACTTACACCTCAACGATTTACTACCACTACACCAAAGTCACCCAGGACAGCAACACCGCCTTCGGGTATCTCCCCTATCAGATAAGGGTATACTTGCCGACCCTGCGAGATCCCACCCGTGAAAAAGCTGGACGCCCGACACCGATTTTCATGACATATCAGATCCAGCAAGTTCTCCGGCTACAAAGACATCGAAGGCATGGATCCGTTGCAGGTCCCACTCTGGGAGTTCTTGTACCAGGGCCTCCCAGACACTTGGCTACTCAGGATCGCCTACGGCCGCGAAACATTTGTCCTTCCTTTGACAACATTGGAACTAACTACGGTGCTCGTCGCCGAGCTCATCAGGCAACTTCGCTCCAGGAACATTGATTTGGACCGCTCCCGCAACTCTGGCACAAACCTGGCACAAAAGGAAGCTACCCAGCAGAGGTGGCCAAAGAAGTCGCTCAGCTTATGCAGGCATGGCTCCCGACACAACCAGCGGCAGCTGACTCATCGAGCCAACAACGCATTTTGGACCTCGAAATGAAACAGAACTGGCCAAGATGAAAGCATCACAGACGGACCCGTCTACATCCAATCCCTGAAGCACCTGGAACTTCTGCCTCATCAGTTTAGTCCCCTATTCAACGTGCCCTACAAGGCAATGCCTCGACAAATCCATCCTTCGAACCTTCGTCATTGCTGGTCAAACCTGGTTCCATCGATCCGTGGCTGGAAGCCAATCAACCGTCCTCCCTGACTGACACCCAGTACAAGAAGTGGCTCCAAGACTTGAAACTCCCCCAACACAAAATGGAAACTTTCGGGAAGCACATCGAGAAGGTCATGAAACGGTGGAAGAACCAGCCAGACCACGCTTCCAAAGAAGTCCAGAGAGTCAGTGTCGCAATGGGCATAGACCCATGTAAGCTGAAGTCCTCTTCTACGGATGACATTGTCCTCAAGGTCCTGACGGTAGCGTTGATGATGAACTCCTGACTAGCCACCTATTTGCGATCTAGTGGCTCTCGAGCCAAACAAATTTTGAAGGACCTTGACCTTGCACATGCGTGTATTCTATGTTTGGCATTGCTGACTCCGTTCACGTTCTCTCCTTCCATTTCGTTGTTTTTATTCCTGCTGAAAGATTCAGAGTATTTCATCCGAAGGGTAATCGAAAACTTTTTCCGGCACTCCGTTTCGCCGCCTGTTCTTCTGCACGTCGTGGGATGATTTATTTTCTCTTCTTCCTTGTTTCAAACAGGACCAGGCTGTGTATGTCCGGTTTTCCCACGTTGCGAACTTTACATTGGGTCCACTTCTTCATTTGTTTTGAATCGTGAGCATTCTCGGTATCGGAAGTTCTTACAAGTGCAGCAGACCAAATTCGTCTTGGCCGAAGTCGCTTTACGGTTCTGGTCTCAATATGACAATTTCTGGATTTGGTCAATCCTGCCAATTTACACTGGCAAATCCAACTTTTGGGCTTTGGAACAAGCCTTACTTCAACTGTCGCAACCCCATTTGATTACCCCTTTCATTTATCAATTTTTCAATTGCCGAAAAGGCATCATCAAACGCGCTCATTTTTCGACTTCGGAGAAAAAGATTCGTTACAATGCTGTTGGACCTCAAGGATGCTATTTCCTCCGCCGCCTTGCCAACAACCTCCGTGAACCTCAATGCTCCTACGCCTTGAATGCCATCGACCGTGCGATCAAATTTTGGAAAGCAAAACCAGTCCGTCGACCTGTTCCACTTCGATGGCTATTGTCTCCTACATGGCGGAGCGGCCTCAAACACCTACTCACTGCTCATGTACACAAAATGAAACCGCACAATGTGTCACTACAATTTCCACTGGCATTGTCTTCACCAAGTACTTGTCCGTGATGGACAGTTTATTATGCAATCACAAGGACATGGCAACTCGCTGGGCAGACGGGGAGCAACCATCATGCATTTGCTCTACTTTACAGACACACCTCCATCATCCTCAACCTGAAGGGCAACACTTCGTTCTGGACGGCGACACTCGGATTCACAGACGCTCCAATCACATCCATCGCTACGGGATCCCTTCAAACCAAGATTTTTCCACCTAAGACGGAAATCTGGAAATCCTTGGTGGAAGCCACGTCATCATGGCACAAGAAAAATTCGCTACCATCCATTCCCCTACGGCACCTTGAACAGTTTTGGACGAGTTCCTGGCCACAACACCAACAATTTCTCTCCAACCACATCGGGCAACCTCACTACGGATCTACTGCATTTATTTCCAATGCTTGACGTCTACCTTCTCCGACCCCAAGGTTTTCCGGAAACTGGACGTCAACCCTGTTGACACCATCAATAATACCATTGAACAATTCAACGCCAATTCATCAAGAAGTACCTCTGGGCCATGGGCTCCGGTCGAGACTTGCCAAACGCCTACGTCCTCCCGAAGAGGAATTAAAGGACCAGATAACCCCACAAGTCAACTTCTTCCAATAATGAGCTTCAAAGGTTGTAGCGGGGACGGGAAAGGAAGGAAAGACAAAGGAGGTGGTGAAGGATAGAGAAGTTAAAACAGTTGTGTGTGACAAAGTGGAATGTGAAAGCCGGTGTGTGACAAAGCAAGAAGGTATGTGAAAAGATAGTATATGCATGTACGTATGTACGTATGTACGTATGTACGTATGCACGTATGTACGTACGTACGTACGTAGGTATGTATGTATGTATGTATGCATGCATGTATGTATGTATGCATGCATGTATGTATGTATGTATGTATGTCTGTGTGTGTATGTATGTATGTATGTATGTATATATGTATGTATGTATGTATGTATGTATCTATGTATCTATGTATCTATGTATCTATGTATCTATGTATCTATGTATCTATGTATCTATGTATCTATGTATCTATGTACCTATGTATCTATGTATCTATGTATGTATG